GCATCTCTTGAATGTCCTCCTGGAGAAGTCTCTAGGTCTGCCATCGGAAGAACGATGGTAGGATGCCCTTTTCTCCATCTGCCCGACTCCGGGGTGACTCTGTCGACGGCGGACAGCGGAATCTCTTCGTTGTTCGCCATGGACGGTGATCAAATGAGCCTGGAAGACAAGGTTTTGTCTGCAAGCTTCCCACAGACGGCGCCAATTGTGCGGGGAGCAAATATTCAGGCAAGCCCACATTCCTTTCTTCCAAGCTCTGTTTATGTCCGATCACCTGCGTGTACAACAGCAGTGAGCTACCCGGCGGTGTGTGGCCGGAAAACCCCTCCGACGATCAAGTCAGGCACACACACAGGGATAGAGAGAGAGAGAGAGAACTGAGTTGAGTGTAAGTATTTCTCTTACCAAATGTTCGTGTGTCCAGCATGGGGGGCGCAGACTTGCTTATATACCTTCTGTGCCCCAAATCTACTCCTAGTGATCTCTCGACACGTGGTTCTGTTATCCTATCTGTCAGCACAAATCTTGCTGAACATCGCCTAACCCGACTGCCAGCCCACTCTACTGGGAGCTCGGCAGCCGGGCTGAATCTTCTCGGCTGTCAACGGCCATGCTGCGTTTCATGCCCAATTGCTCCAACTGAGATCCTTTCCAGCCATGCTCAGCAGCATTCCGGCGAAGCCGATCTTGAGATTGGTCGTACCGGTCAATCCAAGGCCTTCTAGCTGGGCTTCTGGCACAAGCTTCTCGGCCGGGCTAACGGTGCGTGCCTTTGACCGAGCAACGCAAGTTGCACGGTTATCACCTGCACAGATCCAAGTAGCTCGGTCCATCTTTGAGCAGCCCCAACTCCGGGCAAATCCAAAGTTATTGCGGCCCAACGCACCATTGGGCCTCCAATTTGCTCGGCCTCTAACTCGGCCCATATCCGGCTCATAATTCTCCCTCTCAAGTTCTGATGTCTATACTAACTAATTGTTTGGTAAGTTGTATCCTATCTAGTAGAATATGATTTAGTTAATCTTCAAGGTATCAAAGCAGATGATTTGTTTGTGCTAGAGTTTCTCCAGTAAACTCCCCTTCAGTGGCCTGTGGCTCTTGTTCTTGCTCATTGATCTTCAACTTGTTTTCTTAGGTTTCATTTTTCAACTTTTTTTGAATTCTCAATGTAGTTTGATTCCGTTCTATATTCTCGTGTTTTTCTTCCTTACTAATCATGCCTGGTCTTTCGTTGATTTCAAAGGACAAATGTGGTACGTGAGAGAGAGTTAGAACATATTTCATATTTATATATATATGTATGTATTTCTTTTCTACTATGAATATCTTTATCATGGAGACGTTTTCCCCCTCTCAAATTTCCCTTTTAACCAAGTTTTGCTCTTTTAATGTCTTAGAGTTATTCAATATTCTTAAATAAGCTTAGTCAACTTTAGGTAGCCTTCCCAAATGGAATTGAGTCTTTCGTTCTTTCTGCAA